TGTGATGGGAACGGGAGCATTATCACATGTGTGGTAGTGGAGACTCTCTTCTGGGTGCTCCCCTGCAGGTCCCTTGCTTAGCTGGGTGCAGTGAGAAAGGGAAGGGAAAAAAAGAGAGAGGTAGGTGACAGAATTTGAAAGTTGTGGTCACTTGGCCTAGCTTAGTGTTTTTAGAACAAATAAGGAACTTTGTCCTGAGTTTTGATCCCTTGACTAAGGTAGGCAATAGCAGGATTAGTCTGTGGAATAATTCTTTTTTTTTTTTTTTTTTTTGAGACAGAGTCTGGCTCTGTTGCCCTGGCTAGAGTGAGTGTTGTGGCGTCAGCCTAGCTCACAGCAACCTCAAACTCCTGGGCTCAAGCGATCCTCCTGCCTCAGCCTCCCGAGTAGCTGGGACTACAGGCATGCGCCACCACGCCCGGCTAATTTTTTCTATGTATTTTTAGTTGTCCAATTAATTTCTTTCTAATTTTAGTAGAGACGGGGTCTCGCTCTTGCTCAGGCTGGTTTCGAACTCCTGAGCTCAAACAATCCGCCCGCCTCGGCCTCCCAGAGAGCTAGGATTACAGGCTTGAGCCACTGCGCCCGGCCTGTGGAATAATTCTTGAGCGAACACAAAAACATTCTGTTCAATTGAATTCTTCTCTTTGATAATACTTGGAGTTTGATTTCCTCTTGGCCCAAAAGAGATAAGTTCCTGAAAAGTTGTGTGTAAATCAAAATGCTGGTTGTATTTTTTTTTTCTGTTTTCCGTAACTAACATCTAATTTTTTTTACTTTTATCTGATTTGGTTAAAGGTATATCCGTTGGTTATCCCTGCTCTATTTGGAAACATATATTTATAAGGAATTAATAAGCTATTTATATAATTAGAGAAAATCTAGAAGATAATTGCTTTATGTGAAACCAGACTATATTCCAAATGAAAATCAATTTCATAAAACAGTAACATAATATAGAAATTTTGATACCTTATTTCATATTTTTATTTTAATTTATTAATTTCATATATATGTACATACTTAATCCTTCAGGTACCCTATTAAAACTTCAAGTAGTTAAATAAATTATAATGCTGTGAAGAAGATGAAGGGTGCTCTAGGATTACACAGAATTACAAAGATTTTAGTGAGTTAGAAGGTTAAATCTTGGAGTAAGAAATTACACACAGACGCCATAGAATATCAATTAAACCCCCAATGATATTACCCATGAGATTATAAAATATAAATTAGTTAGATTTACATGTTAGAAGCCTTAAGAATATTTCCTTTCAATTATAAACTTCTTAGCCAAGAGGAAAAACAAAGAGTTACTCATGAAAAGTTAGAAATTAAACAAAGGCTCTAAAAAGTAGAAAATATTTTGTAGGGATTCATTAAACAAGATGAAGAAACGATTATTCTTTCTTTTTAAAACTTACCTCTCTGAGGCCTTAAATTTAAAAGGCTTTCCGAAATCACTATCATCCGTTTGATGCTTGGGTTCCTTTGCATTATTGGGATCTGGGTTTTCTCTTAATTTCAATGTAAAAAGACACAAAGACCCCACTTGAACATCCAGGTGAAAAGACTGGGCATGAAACAATAGCCCAAGGAATAGCTTGATGTGAATACGTTTACCTCTAGTACTTTTCTCAGTCTGTACACTGTCAAAATTATTACTGCATTATTAACAGAACTAGAAAACTAGGGTGCCGACGAAAGGGCTATCCAAAAAAAACTTGGAAAATTAGCGAGGTGTGGTGATGCACACCTCTAGTCCCAGCTACTTGGGAGGCTGAGGCAGGAAGATCCCAGGAGTTCGAGGTTGTAGTGTGCTGTGATCAGGGCTGTGAATAGCCACTGCACTCCAACCTGGGCATCAGAGCAAGACCCTGTCTCTGAAAAAAAAAGGAGCTTAGAAGATGGTGGAGATCATTTCTTCCTCTATGGGCAGAGAGTGTTTGCTTTAATTGGAACATCTGAGATGCTCCCACAAATATATTCCTGTCCTCCTGGCTCATGGACTTTCTGGCACTGACCAGCCTGAAGGGGCCATTCACCCTTGAAACATGAAAATCGCAGCTTTTCTGTAAGTTCTCCTTGCCCTTTGTCTCTGTTCTGACAACTGTGTTTTGTTTTGTTTAGTTTTTGAGACAGAGTCTGGCTCTGTTGCCCTGGCTAGAGTGAGTGTTGTGGCGTCAGCCTAGCTCACAG